ACACACCTTTCAAATACATGTATTGCCATTTTATCAAACACACAAACAGTGCTACTAACGACATCTCTCTAATGGGCGGAAACTTATTCCCATATCTAATATATGCACAAAAAATTTATTTTACACCTATAATTGATAATGTATATGTGAATGTATAATAAGAAACTTATTCCCATACCTAATATATGCACAAAAAATTTATTTTACACCTATAATTGATAATGTATATGTGAATGTATAATTATTCACATATAAATAATTATAATAACTCAGATGGGATCATTCTGAAAACTGGTTTGTACTGAATCAAAAACAAGAGTTTATAAAATCGAGAGGGAGATACGTCAACATTTCACTCAACGACGAGGACTATGAATATATGAGCGGTCATGTAATTGATGGGAGAAATTTGCTACCCGCGACAGGTTATTTGGGACTCGTTTGGAAAACAATTGGCATGATAAAAGGGTTAATGTACACAACAATACCGATAGTTTTTCGAGATATAAAATTTATTCGTGCTACTCATTTATTGAAGAATGATGCTGTAGAACTATATATTGCAATACAGACAGGTATTTACGAGATGAGTAGTTTTAATTCTAATTGGGATTTTCTCTAAAATTTCTATAACAGTATTCGCCGGTCCACTGTACTTTAATTTTTTGTTTAAACATTTAATATAATATAATTATTTACAAAGCAGTTGAAAAAAATATCTGGGTCCGATGGATTAACAAATACCGTTTACGGTTAATGTAGTACGATGACAAAAATGCAGTATAGTCAAATTTATATAAATATTACAGATGGAAAGTTTGAAATAACCGAAGGAGATAGCGTTGTAGTCACAGGTACGGTATACGAGGCATTAAATTCAAAACAAGAAATGATTCCAATAAATCTATTATCGGAAAATAATAATGAAGATGAAGATATGACTGCACGAGATATCTACAAAGAGTTGAAATTGCGTGGATACCAGTACAGGGACTTGTTTCGTGGATTAAAGAGTGCTTCTATTTCGGGAACCCAAGGACATATCGCTTGGAAAAATAATTGGGAAACATTTATGGACAGTATGTTACAAATGCAAATTATTGGATATGATACTAGGGAATTGTGTGTTCCTACGGGTATTCAAAAATTAGTGATCAATCCAATGCTTCATGCTTCAAAATTACGAGATAATATAGATAATGCAGAAGTTACAACAGACATGAATAAACGTAATTGACTTCAATTACTAAAAGTTCTTCGTTCAATTCATAAATATTGTGTAAAAGATCTCCATAATATAAAGCATATTATTTTACTTGTCTTATTATAGTATTACAGGTACGAGTATACAAAGAGATAGACACGATAAAAGCTGGTGGTATAGAGATTCGAGGCCTGAAAGCTACTCAGATCTCTCGCCGGAAATTAGCCCAAGATGCTATTATCGAGGAACAAACATTTGTAGCTCATTGCGATCGTGCTAAGATTTCATTGAATGAAGCAGTTCGATTATCGGCCCAACTAGTACTGGAAGATCATCAAATTGTCAAAGTACAAACTGCTGAACTAGTGGAAGACGTTGATGATGTTGAATTAGAATATCTTTCATCATCGTTGCTACTTGAGGCATTTGGTGATATGCCACTGATACAAGTGAATGTCACTCTATTAACATCATCAAATCGTTTCAGGCCAGAAGACTTACCGCAAAACTTTTCAATCAAAGCTTTTGAAAAAACATCTTTAGACGACAAAGTTTTAATTGTTGCTGGATTCAACCTTTTGACCAAACAACTCGCATCTTTAGAGCGACTGTTGCCATTTTTGAGAGATGGTGGTTATCTGTTGACGCGTGAGAAATTTGACATAAGTGATTATAAAAAACATTTACTGCAATACGAATTAAACGTTATTCTTGAAAAACACACTGATAAAGAACTAATTGTGCTTCTGAAGAAAAAAGTTTCGATAAGAGAAAGGACTGTTGTTTACATAAATAATGATAACTTTAATTGGCTGGAAAATCTGAAGCCGCTTGTGAGCGACGAGAATAAGCTTAACAGTAATAGTAGAATTGTAATTGTCGGAGAGAAAAATTTTGAATGCGGTTTATTAGGTTTTGTTAACTGTTTGAGAAAAGAGCCAGGTGGAGAACTTGTTAGAGGTGTACTCCTTCAAGATGAGGAGGCACCTAAGTTCTCTCTTAAAGATCCCTTCTATCTAGAGCAATTACAGAAAGATATGACCATTAATGTACTGCGATCTAATAAAACTTGGGGATCGTACAGACATTTGAAATTATCACAACCCGAAGCCAAACCTGTACCTACCGCTCATGTCTGTCAAACGGTAAACACAACCTTTTTCAACATATATTGGTCATTATCCTTATAACATTATCTATCGTTTGTCTCTTAAATGCATAATTCTACTTGTCGGACGGAGGATTGAATACTCTTACAAAGCTTCTTTTTAGAATTCTGTTTTGTATATATCGTGCCATAAAAGAAATTTCATTTCTTCATAGGTTCGTGGTGATTTAAGTACATTATGTTGGATAGAGAATAATTTATCAGATATGTATTGTCGTGAGGACTTGGTGCACGTTGTTTACTCATCTCTGAATTTTAAAGATATAATGCTCGCCATTGGTAAATTAACACTTCATGAGGTGATTTTACAAGGACGGTTATTTCAGTATCTTCCTCTTGGAATGGAATACGTGGGTTTCAATGCTAACGGACAACGTATAATGGGAATTCGTGATACGAAGTATGTAATACTACAAGAAATTATTATGCTGTGATGTTATAGAATAAACAGTAATTAAAAGTTACTCTTACTAGTTGCATAGCAAATGTCGTTGAGATAGATCAAGATCTTTGTTGGTATATACCCGATGCGTGGACATTTGAAGAGGCAGTAACGATCCCAGCCGTTTACAGTACGGTTTATTTAGCCTTATACATTTATGGGAAAATTAAAAAAGGTGATAAAGTACTTATACATTCTGGTACTGGAGGCATTGGACAAGCAGCTATTCATCTCGCTCTTAAAGAGGGATGTGAGGTATTTACTACCGTGGGCACAAATGATAAACGGGATTTTATTAGAAAAATGTTTCCGACTATTTTGGATGAACATATTGGAAATTCTCGAGATACTAGTTTTGAACAAATGATAATGCAGCAAACGAAATGTCGCGGAGTCGACATTGTGTTAAATTCCTTGACGGAAGAAAAATTAATTGCCTCCGTCCGGTGTTTAGCTCAAAATGGTCGATTCTTAGAGATTGGCAAATTCGATCTTGTTTCTAATAATCTCCTAGGTATGTCTGCATTTCAAAAAGGTATCAGTTTTCACGGGATTAGACTTGAAAACATGATGATAAAAAATAGGGATTGCAAGTGGAAACGTTTAGTGCTCACATTGATCAAAAATGGTCTAAGTGATGGAACAATTAAACCAATTCAAGCAAAAATTTTTCCAAAAACTAATGTTGAAGAAGCTTTTAGATATATGGCGAGCGGAAAGCATATGGGAAAGGTATGCTTGAGCTGATAAATATTATAATAGAAAGGTTTATTCGTAAATAACAGCATTCTATAGTCCTATTCACATATAACATGAATTCTTTTAATATGATTATTTTTATAGATAATTATAAATATTCATGAAAAAGATGAACCTTTAGATAAGCACATTCTCGCGTATCGTCGCTATTATTGTCTCAAAGATAGGAGTTACATTATACTAGGAGGCCTGGGCGGATTTGGTTTAGAATTAACAGACTGGCTTATATTTCGTGGTGCCAGAAACATCGTTCTGATTTCAAGAAATGGAATAAAAAACGGTTACCAACAAATGAAAATTCGACTATGGAAATCGTATGGTGTAAACGTTCTGATCATCAAGAATATCGATGTTGCTGACCTCAAAGATTGCGAATATCTCTTACGGACTGCGGAAAAAGAAGCTCCAGTGGACGCTATATTCAATCTCGGTGTAGTTCTAAGGGATGGCGCTCTCAAAAATCAAACTGCAGAAGCATTTGCAGAGTCCTTCCAATCGAAAGCTCGTGCAACGCAAATGCTGGATAAACTTTCTAGGAAAATCTGTCTTAACTTACGGCATTTTGTGGTATTCTCTTCCGTTTCCTGCGGTAGAGGAAATGCTGGTCAGACAAATTATGGTATGGCCAACTCTATTATGGAGAGAATTTGTGAGAAAAGAGTGGAGGAAGGATTGCCAGGATTGGCGATTCAATGGGGAGCTGTAGGTGACGTGGGGCTCGTCGCTGACATGCAGGAGATCGATAAGGAACTAATTATCGGTGGTACTTTACAGCAGAAGATATCTTGTTGTCTTGACGAACTCGATAAGTTTTTACTTCAAAATCGACCGATTGTGAGCAGCATGGTCGTAGCTGAAAAAAAAGTGGGACGTCACGGATTGGGAAATCTGGTAGAAACAGTTGCTAATATTTTAGGTAGGCGTTCCTACCAAAATTTGTGCAAACTTATTCTTTTCAAAATACTTATTGTATTTGTTTGCTAATGTAGTTTATGAGAAAGACATTAAGTGTGTACGATTCGTAATAATTTTATATTTTATGTTATAGACATAAGTGACATGAAGACTGTAAGCCTAAATTCGTCACTGGCCGAACTTGGAATGGACTCCATGATGTCCGTGGAAATCAAACAAACTCTGGAACGAGATTTTGATATATTTCTTGTAGCACAAGAGATACGAAACCTCACTTTCGCAAAACTCATTAAGATGTCCGTTACAAGCATCAGTGACAATGACGTAAATGATAAAAAGAAATTCGACACAGAGAAGTCAGACGTTATAAAAATTTTAGTTGGTGTTACATTAAAAGATGAAGACTTTGTTTTCTCAACAGATTTTTCGACTAACAGACAGAACACTACGACTGAAGTATTTCTTGTACCGGGTATTGATGGATGTGGTACTGTATTTAAAACTGTAATACCATACATTAAACTTTCAACATCGTTGTTGCATTATAATACAAACAACATCGATTCTACAAATATGATAACGGAGACTACTAATCGTCTCACAAACGTATGCATCGTATTAATAATTTCATTTTATGTTGATGAAAAATTGTTTTCATTTAAAAAATATAAATTTCATCAAATACTTTTGATATTTTCACAGCACGTACTGCCAAAGCTAACAGATGGAAAAGATTTTGTAATGGTAGGGTACTCTTTTGGATCTCTTCTTGCAATTGAAGTAACAAGGATATTAGAAGCTATGAATTTAAAAGGCCGACTTGTTCTCATTGACGGTGCTCCTGAGTTAGCACGAACAATGTTCAAACCTTTTGAATCAGATTTCGATGATGCAAATTTTCAAATTGATGTATTAACTAATATTCTGGAAATTTATTCAGTAGGAAGTTCTCGAAAGGTATATGCAACTTTTGTTTTGGACTCACATTGAAACTAATTTATGGTATATTTATATTATTTTTCGATTTCTTTATGTGGATCAATATCAATTCCTTCGTTCTGTCTTATGGTCTTGTAAATAAAAACAAAACTTTTTATATTTTCGTAGATTTTAATGGAATTGAAGAAATGTGAGAGTTGGGATGAAAGATTTAATATTTTTGCTAAACAGTTCTCAGTTATATATACATATCTCTCATTTGCAAATTTAAAAACGTTGTGTATAACGATTTACAAACATTTATCTGCTCTTCGGCAATATGATCCATCTACATTGCCACCTATTAAGTCTCCCATAATATTGCTAAAATGTACACACTCGTCAAATATGATTGCGATCGAAGAAGATTTTTGTTTGCATAAGGTATTTAAAAAGATCTATGCTCTTTGATAAATTAAATTTAGCAAAGTTTTTTTATTAAAGTTTGTCAATAATGTGTGTAATTATTTAAGGTAACTCAAAATATGGTAAAAATACATTACATTGAAGGTAATCATGTGACAATCATGAAGAATGAAAAAGTAGCAGCTGCTATTAACGGAGAATTATCATTTACAATTTGATATCTTAATCTATTTATAATTTGATTTTACAGAACAGATGAATAAAGGAATTTTTAAAGCTTTTTAAGGGGATCCTAAAGTGAATCCCGAACTCCGACAAGGTCATCAGAAATCGCTGCTTTACGATACATCGACATATCTTTATATACTAGATCTTTATGTACTAGAGGAGATTTGCGACAGTTGTACCAATTTTTAGAAAAAGACATATGTTTCTTTATTTATAACATATATGTTTATTTCTTTCAAATATCAAAATATCAAAATCCGAATTAGTACGTCTTGCTCCGATTTAGGGCAAAATGAAACAGAGCTAGGGAAAATTGTAACATGTCTAAACAAACTGTCTGTTCCAAAACAAAAATTAACTTCTTATATTATTTTTGTTTTGAAAGTAGTAAATTTGCTATTAAAAAGCAGTGAAATTATGTTTTAGAGCAGAGAATTTGTTTCAAAGCAGTGAATCTGTGTTTTTAAAAAGTAAATTTGTGTAGTAAATTTGTGTTTCAGTATAGATAATGTGTTTTTAAAGCAGTGAATTTGTGTTTGTAAAGCAGTGAATAACATATATTACAAGAAATACAACGCGTTCACACGCAGCTATAAAGCATAAAAATGTGATCTCAGCGTGTACTTGCATCGCAGTATTTCGTAGCTGTGACAGATTTCCTAATCTGAATATTCGTCAACTTAAAATACATATTTCGGTTCACGAAGCAGAGCGATATTTTTTCTTGTCAAATCTTTATTTTTATTTGAAAACACATCGATTGCATTTTTATCAATTTGAGATGAGCGAGTTGTTCTTAATATTTACTCGAGGAGATAACCAATAGCTGAAATATTGTCCTACAGATTACATGATTTTATGTGATTTTATACGATTTCATATGATGAAAAATAATTTTCTTCACTATATATGAAGTTATTTGATAAAATTAACGATTTTATCTGATATTATACAATTATTCCTTGTAGTTGCATATGTACCAGGTATGTAAATATGAAACCGGAATTTACCAATAGATGGCCATAGCTGTCAATGTAGTTGCCGTCAGACCGCGTCATTGACGCCATTTGCTTGTTCTGACATCTGACAAAGATTTTCAACTCACAACAATACAAGTTTCATACAACAGTATAGTTTGTAATAGCGTTGAACATGTCGAATTTTGTGCCTGGAAACTACGATTTGCGGACAGCATTGATTTTCTGTTACCATTTGAAGAAAACTACTGCAGAATCGAATGCTTGTCGAAGCTTACGGTGAGCATGCTCTTGGTAAATCACAGTGCTTCGAGTGGTTTAAAAAATTTAAAAGTGGCGATTTTGACGGAAGAAACGAAGAACGTGGAAAACCACCGAAAAAGTTTGAAGACAGCGAACTGCAAGCATTGTTGGATGAGGATAACGCTCAAACTCAACAACTCGCGGATCAATTGAATGTGACACGAGAAACCGTCTCCATACGTTTGAAATCCATGGGAAAGATCCAGAAGATGGGAAAATGGGTTCTACATGAACTGAATGAAAGACAGCAGGAAAACCGAAAAACCATTTGCGAAATGCTGCTCGCCAGGTACAAGAGAAAGTCATTTCTCCATCGAATTGTGACTGGCGATAAAAAGTGGATATATTTTGAGAATCCTAAGTAAAAGATCATGGTTAACTCCAGGCGAACCATCGACATCGACTGCAAGGCCAAATCTATGGACGGAAGACAATGCTCTGTGTTTGGTGGGATCAGAAAGGTGTGATCTATTATGAGCTGCTAAAACCTGGTGAAACCGTTAATACTGAACGCTACCGACAAATGATCAATTTGAATAAAGCTTTGCGTGAAAAACGACCGGAATATCAAAAAAGGCAACACAAAGTGATTTTGCTTCATGATAATGTACCATCACACACAGCAAAACTGGTCAAGGAAATGATTGAGACGTTTGGTTGGGAAATACTTTCGCATGCGGCTTATTCACCAGACTTGGCTCCGTCCGATTACTACTTATTTGCATCGATGGGACACGCACTTGCTCAGCAGCGCTTCACTTCTTACGAAGATGTACAAAAATGGCT